GAATCAGTTTTATGAAGTCACCACAGATAAAGTTCATCATCATCATCGTTTTACTTGTAAGAAAAACATACTGCTCTAAAATAAGTGCCACGTGCTCTTCTATCCATACAGTTCCAAGTGTGCCATAAGTGTCCCATACATCTTGTGTGTCTGCAGCCGAAATGAAGATGAGTAAAGCCAGCAGTGTCTGGTTCACAGCAGACGTGTGTTTGCGTCTGTTCAGTGTCGAAACGAAGTGAGATCATCATCATCTACAGGAATAAATGAAGGTAAATCCATCACCATGTCCACAAAAACAGCTTCAGCAAAACAAACAGGCTCAGTGCAGAACGTCCTGATATTTGCTTTAAATGTTTGTCTTTAAGGAAAGACACTGCTGGTCGACAGGGGGAAAATAATAAACTAGTAGTTATCATCTTACGTTCTCAGTTAATTAATAATAATAATACATTTTATTTAAAATGCACTTTTCTTAAACTCAAAGTGCTACAAGTATATACAAAATAAGGATACAAGCAAAAACAGAATAACAAACTTGCATAATAAAATCACAGTAGTCAGATGCAATAATCAGTTAAAACTGTAATGAAGTTTTTACAAACTATTTTCGAGAGGAGCACATAATAGGATTGACTACAGCTGAGCCCTATCACTAATCGCTAACTAGCCAATCAGATCATTCTAAATTTATTATAAATATCCAGCATAAACTTCATTCCTCATCTTCGTTTTGAACCCCAAACAACCCCACCACCCCCACCCCCCAACCCAATCCATCCCTTCTCCCTCATCCTCAATTATAAGTTCGGGTGACACAAAGGCTCAGTGGCTAGCACTGTTGCCCTATAGCAAGGGGGTCGTTGGTTCAAACGCTGAGCCAGTCGACACTCTTTGTGCGGAGTTTGCATGTTCTCTCTGTGTCAGTTCCATCTTGTTCTCTCAAAAAATGTAACAAAAGTTAAAGTCACAAGCATTTACTACGTAAGAAAAAAAAAAAAACTGTTGACCGCAGTTGGCGGTCTATTCTTGGGAAGTTATTGAGAACTACCTGATCTCGTATCCCTCCTAATGCTTATTGAGCATGCTGAAGCCTTGGGCCCATCTATCTCCAAGCTCAGGGTTCTCTCCCGGGACAGCATGCTAAACCTGCTAAAATAGTCAAGCATTATCTAAGTGTAAACTCTTAAAATAATGCAAAATTGCAGATCGGTTACGTGTAGAATAGCAAACATTTTCAAAGTTTTCTAAAGCGTTAAGTTGAAATATGCAAAAGATGCATTATTTATTTAGATATCCACTAATTTGCATACATTTTAACACTCAAAAAAAGATCATTGGAGCATAATATGTTAAAACTAATTCTAATTCCGTTTCTTTTTAGTCAAAGGTTTTACAGAGAGGACTTTTGGGAATTCTTTGTAAACATTGGTTTATTCAATCATTCATTTTCATTTCAGCATGGTCCCTTTATTAATCTAAGGTCGCCACAGCAGAATGAACCGCCAACTTATCTAGCACATGTTTTACAACATTTTAGCTCACCCAGTTCTCCTGTAGCGCATGTCTTTGGTCTGTGGGGTAAACCAGAGCAACCAAAGGAAACCACAGGAACATGGGGGGAACATGCAAACTCCACATAAAAAAAGCCAACTGACCCAACCTAGGCTCGACCCAGCGACCTTCTTGCTGCGAAGCGATCATGCTACCCACTGTGCCACCGTGACATATTTACATTTTTAGTTTATAAATAAATGTCAAATATCTTTAACTCAACTGTTGGGTTATATTTGACCCAGTGTTTTTATTTTTGTGTGTGTGTTGGTGAAAAAACTTTTTAGTTTTTAGTGTTTTTTAGTTTACTAAATGTGCATTAGCTTGCATTTCTAGCACAAAAAAAATTATTGAATGTAATCAGGCATCATGGTGGCGCAGTGGGTAGCACGATCGCCTGACAGCAAGAAGGTTGCTGGGTCAAGCCCCAGCTGGATCAGTTGGTATTTCTGTGTGGAGTTTGCATGTTCTTCCCGTGTTCACGTGGGTTTCCTCCGCCTGCTCTGGTTTCCCCCACAGTCCAAAGACGTGCGTCACAGGTGAATTGAACAAGCTAAATTGTCCGTAGTGTATGAGTGTGAATGCAAGAGTGTATGGGTATTTCCCAGTGTTGGGTTGAGGCTGGAAGGGCATCCGCTGCGTTGAACATATACTGGACAAGTTGTGCGGTTCATTCCACTGTGGCAACCCCTTATTAATAAAGGGACTAAACCGAAAAGAAAAGAAACGAGTCTCTGGATTTCTTTTTAGAATCTTTATAAACTCCATGTTGAATAAAAATAAAGTAATTGTTGTATTTAATCAGGTAAAATCTAGCGGTAAAAACTTGAATATGAATCTTGGATATGAAAAAAACTGAACAGTTAGGTGTGTGCGATGCTAAAGGGGACATTTGAATATATTGTAATTAAAATCTACAAACACAGTGTGACTAAATCAAGCTCTCAAAACTACATTTTGCATGTTTTCTTTAAATTTGACTCAACAAAAACAAACTGGAAATAAAAACAAATAGGTCAGAATCCTAAAATTGACTATGGAGGCTTGTATTATGCATAGCTCAGGTTTTTCAGGAAGATGACATTACAGTTGATATGATAACAAAATGACGTCAAGGCATGAATGTTTCGAAGGGTTGAGTAATGTGCCATAATTGATGACAGAGTCAAAAATGTAGCCGTTTTTTTTCCAGTTTGTAAGACTGAACTGGTAAAACTGGTCATGAGACACTGATCAGATCAGATCATTCACATAAAAGACATTTAAATGTTATCTTGTGACTAAAATAAATGTTAAAAGTGACTCAGCAATTCATTTTTGGATGTTTGGGTCGAACAATAGCTAATCAGCGGTGACGTTCGTAATTATTTACGCTTGTGGAATTACATTTTAACCTTAAAGAAATGGTTCACCCAAAAATGAAACTTCTGTCATCATTTACTCATTCTCAACTGGTTCCAAACCTGTTTCAGTTTCTTTCGGCTCTTGAACACAGAGGAAGATTGTTGAAAACAGCCATTGACTTCCACAGTATATTTAGCTCCAGGTCAATGGCTACTTTATCCAACATCCTTCAGAATATCTTGTTTTGTGTTTTTTAAAGCCACTTGATTATGAGTAACTTGATTGTGGATAGGACATTTTCATTTTTGGGTGAACTACCCCATTAATATGCTTTCGTTTGAAGTACACCAGGTGTGACCAAAATTGGTCATGGAGAGCCAGTGTCCTGCATAGTTCATCTGCAACTTGCTTTAGGAAGCTAGTATATCTAGCAAGATCGTCATTAGCTGGTTCAGATGTGTTTGATTAGGGTTGAAGCCAGTGTTCATTTTGACAGCAAATTTTTATTTAGTTTTAGTCTTTTGACTAAAATTCCATTTTAGTTTTAGTCATATTTAGTCATATTTTTATTGTTTAATTATAACATAAGTATGTGTGTGTGTGTCTGCTTCATGCATCACACACCAAAATGAATTCTGGTTGGATATTTTCCAAAAAACATTGCTTAATCACGTCTCATTTTTATTAGTCAACAAAAATGTCAGTATATTTATATTTTAGTTTTCGTCATCATCCCTTTTTTTCGTCTAGTTTTCATCTGCTGGAACTTGTTTGTCATGAGAATTATGCCAAAAAAAAAACATTCAGTTAATGAAATCATTACGGGATGGAGCTGAGTTTGGACACCCTTAAAGTACACTAAAATGCAGGGTTCTACACAATTTCTTCAGGTTTTCCCAACACAAATCAATTAAGTGAATGGAACATAAAACAATTTAGCTGTCTTCAAAAAATCTTAAGATTTTTTTTATTTTTTTTTATTATTATTTTTGTTTTTTGTTGTTGAATATTTTTTATTTTAAACAAAGCCCGAGATCCACCCAACCTAAAAGCAAAATAAACTAAAAACAGTATTTGGTTTGTAGAAGTTGGTTTCCTTAATCGGGTTGAGTTGCCTTAAATTATTGGGTTTTACAGTACTCAGTTGGTTTGAGTTCTTAGGTTTTACTATGCTCAAATTGCTTCATTTACTCAAATGGATTAAGTTCACAGTACTCATTAGGATTAGTTTTTGGGCTTAAATGGTTTGTTACAATCAAAACAGTTTGAGTTACATAAATTTTTTGGGTTTTACAGTGTAACACTGCAATAATAGGTACAAAATCAGGATTAAACTAATCAGTCTCTCTTGTATTCAACCAAAATTGTACAGTTTTCTTACTGGCACCATTCATTTTTTTTTTTGGTTGTGGTGTATTTCAAATTAATAATGTCCACTAGATAGAGCCTACAGAATAGATCAGCTTAAGCAGATGGATCCAGGCATATTTTCATTTTTGCAGCATTCAGAACAGCTGACAGAATTCTTTTTTGGTTGATGGATAAGCAGAGTGATGAATCGTCCAGCAGGAGAAGAAGCAATGGGTCGCATTGGATTGAAGTTTCCATTAGATCTGATAGTAGGTCTCGTAAGAATTGTTTTGTTTAAAATAATTTTACATAAGTAGTTTGAATAAGCAGCAACATCTTGTTTTTTTGTGCAAAGATGGGCACATCATTTTTTTTTATTTATTTGTTTAAGACAGCACATTTTATGTTTGGTTAGTGAATTTGAAAACATAACTACTAAATGATTTAAATAACATTCACTGTCAGGGCTAAAGTATGATTACATTGTGATTTGAATAAAAAAAAGTATTGTATTTTAAATAATCAATAAAATCCAAGTTATTGTCTGTAGTTTGAAATAAGTTGTTGAACTAAAAATAATAGAAACAAGTGACAAAAATGGGGAGAGGGGTGAGATGGGAAATATTATCTCTTTAATTTTTACGTTTATATTTTTACGGTTTTATTTTTCTCATATAATTCATCTTGGTTTCATTTTTATCATAATTACAACCAAAGAAATCCAAAAACATAAAAAAAAATAGGAGAAATGAAACTTCTTTTAATACAAATTTATTATCTTCATATTTAGTGTTTTGTGACAAAATGTAAACAACATCATACAATATATACAAAAATGACATTTCAAATATAAATACACACACATTTATTTTAAATAATATATACATGTGACTTAAGTGTTTAAAAAAAAACGCCCACCTCATGACATCCAGAAAAAGAAATAGTGTAAAACAACAAGATAAATTTCATACAAAAGTACTCTAAAAAGCAAAGTTGTAGAAAAAATATATACATCCCAAAATAATTACAGCTTTTTCATGTGACTGCTCAATAAAAATACCCAATGTTCATCTCTACGGCATCACTATTTACAGGTCTGTGCAAATAAATATGCAGAACTTAAATACAATCATAAAGCAGACAGTAGATGTTCTGAAACGGACCAGCCATTCTTTCAAACACAGCGAGCGTTATTGTTTTCCCTCTGCCAATCTGCACAGCTTCTGGTAAAGCTCTGACTCCAGAAAGCGAGGGTAGGAGTTGTGCTCCATCAGGTATAAAACTCGGTGTTGTGCCACTTTGAAAGTACACGGTGTTGGGATGAGGAAGCTCTGCTGCAGCATCTCTTTCGTGTTATAGTCCAGGTTGATCTGAAAGAAGCAAACATTTGATGAGGACCAAAGAATTTGCCTCGATGTGCACATTTGCATTGACTTTTTGTATGTAATCTACATCTACTTAAATTCGCATTTAGTGTGATCTTTGCTTTAGACTAACATTAAAATTAGACTAAAATTAGACTAACATTAATAATAATAATAATTAATTAATAATAAGAAGAAAAAACTTTAAATCTTTAAGCAGGACTTAAAATCTCACCTCTTTTGGAGAGTCTGGTTTGATGAATTCGTTGTATATTGATTTTGCCTTGGATTTGAGTTTTGATCGCGAGCGGATCTTTCTGAACTCCTCACAGGCCAACCAGAAGTCAAGATTCTCCTCGCAGAGCTCAGACTTTATGAAGAGACGGAAAAAGTTCAGTCCACCTGAAATAAGAACAAAATACAGAGTTAATTGCTACAATAATAATAATAATAATAATAATAATGTATACATATATTTATTATTAATACATATATCGGTTTGTACTAATTATAATTATTAAATAAAATTTAGTGTAAATGTAATGGAACTAACTGCTTAAAAATAATGATTAGTTTGCATTTAATATAAAATTTGATAAAATATTACTGAAGGAAATTTGATTAGATCTTTTCTTTTCATTTGTATGAAATGAAAAAAAGGACAAATTATGTTTAGAAAATATTAATCAACTAGATTAGCAATCTAATTCCAGACCCAAGTATTTAAATTCATGAATTTTAATTTTAAAATTTAATTTTAACTTATAGATAGATAGATAGATAGATAGATAGATAGATAGATAGATAGATAGATAGATAGATAGATAGATAGATAGATAGATAGATAGATAGATAGATAGATAGATGTTACATGAATGCATACAATTCATGAAAATACTTTTTAAAAGGTATGCTTAAAATATAATGTAATCTGCTAAATATAATGACTAAACTACTAATTTAATATATAAAAATATAAATAAAAAATTACATTTGCTGCTTAGTAGATTGTCCAGAGACTGTGCCCACTGACTCACTTCTTCAGTAGTTGGCCTGAGGGAACATAAACGCAGAGATTAAAATCAAAATAAAATGACACACATACACTTTATTTGGACATTTTCTGCAAATTATGTTACACTTATTACATTCATCATTTATCATATCCCATCTGTTTATACATTCCACATTTCTTCTGATGTAAACGCAAACAGATTGCCTTAATTCAGATGAAAGCGTCTGCTAAATTATGAAATATAAATACAAAAATATGAAGGAATCCATCAACTCACAAGTGTGATTTTTTCTGTGGCGTGGTGTTCTGTGATTCCTTTAAAGGTGAAGTGCTGAAGAATATTCTCGGCCTCCAGCTTTTCTTTCTATTAAAAGCAATCAACAAACATCAGCAACCACACGCATATTGACATCAACATCAAACCAAATACTACGCAACATACAGCACATCTTACTTTATCTGGCTTTGTTCCGTCATCTCCTCAGAGTTCCTATAGTTGATCAAATGCTCCCTGCCTGAATCTGGACTGGCAGTTCTCATTTTGGTCAATCTGTCCATTGCTATCAATCAAATTGAGCTGAAATGTCTTCTGTCTTCTGTGAGCTCTTTTTATACTCAAGGGCTCTGTATGTGGGCGGAGCCTAGTCAGCAGGAGGAGCGTTTGATTGGTCGCCTTGCATCACAGTCTGACTTGGCAGAAGCACTGCAGGTTTTTTTTTCCCTCAAGTAATCTTTCATGAAGGAGAGAAACTAAAGGCAAAACACTTTCTTTTTCACGCATCTGCAAGTTTTGAGATATTTTTGTTTTGTTTTTTTTCAGTTTAATGTGATGTTTATTACACTTTATTAATATGTGTGTGTAGATTTCAATTGCAAAACATATGTTAAAGGCTCTCGAAAAATGTGGAAAATTTAAAAAGCCTTTATTCGCATGGCTAAATCTTAGTATTAAAAATCCCTGTTACATTGATGAAGGCAGAACCTTGCCGAAACGCCTAGGTTTTTTAAGATTTAGCCATGTGATTAAAGGCTTTTTCAATTTTCCACATTTTTCGAGTGCCTTGTACTGATTCCTATTGTTGTTTGGATGAATCCCTTACCCAAAGAGCACCAACCAAATATTTGAGTGACCCCTGAGCTAAAGGCTATTTCTTCTCTTGTATTAGTCATAAATCTCACCTTCAGCATCACTTACACACACCATACTACGTAGTTTAATTCATATCTGTGTTCAGAAGGTTTTTACTGGGGGGTTTGTTCATACAATTTGTCTGATTATATTTTATCTTATACAAAAATGTGAAAAATGTGTGTTGTGTTTGTAGTGACAAAATTAGATTCTCAAAATCTCTTCTGTAAAAACATTTGCCTCCAATATGTCAAAAACAAACTAATTTAAACCAAGTTATACACTGTAAAACCCCAAAAGTTAAGGTAACTTGGAAGAAACCAATCGCAACAAACCATTTAAATCTGATCCTATTGAGTACTGTGAACTTAATACATTTGAGTAAATGAAGCAATTTGAGCACAGTAAAACCCAATAAATATAAAGAACCCACACAACTGAGTACTGTAAATCTCAATAAGTTAAGGCAACTCAAACCGTTTGCAACAAACCATTTGAGTAAAAAAAAAAAAACTAATATGTATAAGTATGAGTTTTGAACTGTTATAAAAATATTTTATATCTGATTTTACATTGGATTTATAAATATACTGTATTTTCTTATACTTATTTACTTTTATTTTTTCGTATTCATACAATAACGTGAACAAACTGTAAAATAAAATTCTTAGATTCCATAAAACAAGATTTTATAGTTCATATTTTATGAAATAATGCCTTAAATGCATACTCCAGCATATTTAGAAAGCTTCAAAAATCAAGTCAATCAGCCATTTACTTTATGTATGGTGAGAGAGATATTAGTAATTATAGATTTACCTATATATCTGGCTCTATATAGATGCTAAAACACTTGATAAATATAAGCAAAGCACAACAAGAAAAGGTGTTGCTCTTTTTCGATATCCAGTTGAAGATTTATTATCAAAGAAGCAATGAAAGAAGGAGCATAAGTGTAAATGAAGTCACTTCTGTCACTTGAGGACTTTAGCACGACATCCGTCTTAAACAAAAGCACTAAACAAACCGGTATGTTCTCCAACAGCATTCCTCACGCGGCTATTTGTGGAAGGCAAGGAAGGAGTGTTTTATTTATAGAAGCCTTTTCTAAAAAAAGCTCACTCTCCTAATTACTTTGGATGTATTTCAAGCCGCAGAAAATGCTTGTAGTGCTTGACATGTTCACTGTTTGAGTGTGTGGAAGTTTTTTTTTTTTTTTTAAGATTTACAGGATGGTACTGAAATAAAAAATGTTTGAAGTAAAAAGAACAGTAGGTCAACATTAAGTTGAGACTCTTAAGAGGGATAGTTCACCCAAAAATGAAAATGCATTCGCTATTTACTCACCCTCAAGTGGTTCCAAACCATTGCGGGTTTCTTGTTTTCTGTTGAACACAAAAGAAGATATTTTGAAGTATGTTGAAAACTGCTATAAAATTTACTTTTATAGTAGGGAAAAAAAATACTGTGGAAGTGAATGGGTACTGGCTTCCATGCAGCATTCTTCAAAATATCGTCTTTTGTGTTTAACAGATGAATAAAAAAACACAATAAGTGAGTTGATAATGACAGAATAATTTTTTATTTATTTTTTGGTGAACTGTCCCTTTAAGGCATTAAAAGTAAAACTAATTTCGAGAGGATCATGTGCTTATGATTGACCACAGCTAGTCCCGCATTAACATATCAGATGAATCTAAGCGCACATAAATAACCAGATTTCCATACCTTAGGCATCTCCTCCCCCTCTTTCCTAGACTAATACAGGACAATTAAATTAACCAAATTTGCACAGTATATGAGTGTTTTAGTACTGGGCATTCAATGAATAACCATATGCTGGTCTAGTTGGTGGTTCATTCGGATGAACGAATTTGGAGGAGCTCTCGAGACGTACCTGAGCTCAGACTTCCCTCTCTCCCAATGAAACAGGAGGCAGCCCCAGCCTCAAGGATCTTCTGAGCTCAGGGCTCTCTCCTGGCACAGTGTGCCTTTATTATCAATCATCAGCTAAGTGTGGAATCTTGAATGCTGTTTTAAGAAGCATATACAGCATGGTGTTAAAACCTTGACTTGAAAGGGCTAAATAACTGTACATCAACATGTTTTTGTTTTTTATGCCATCTTTGAGATGTGTTTGTGTCTGTTGACAGCACAGCTTCATGCGTTAAGAAAGATGAACAGGAACTAAATAGCATGACAAAACGGAATGTTTGACTAATTTGTGACGCAACTCAAATGTCATGTTTTAAAAAGCACAGCCAATGTCCAAGATTTCTCGGTTTAGATTTAGATTGATCTGAACTGTGTACAGATCAAGTTTCCTTGCTTCCAAGTATCTGAGAACACTTCAGAAAACTCACTCGGCTGCTTGATCATCAGGTTTTACACAAGCCCTTCTTTTGATAATATCTGCCAATTCACTCATGAGAAATTGGAAGATAAAATAACAGAAAGTGAAGAAGTCTATATATACATACACACATTTACTAATTTGCATATGAAAAATTAATTCTAATAATACATTATACATATGCCTAGTTTTAGGATAAAGAAATTAAAATGTATGTCTTCTATACGTTTTTAAGATATTATTATTATTTAAATATTCATGATATCAGCATTTAAACATTCTGGATCGTAATATTACGTACACACAATCATTGCACAAAAAACATATTTAAATATTCATCATTATAAAAATTTAATCTAAACAATTTTTTCAAATTAATAAAAAAGTTTCAAATAACTTTTGAGAGTATAAAAACTCCAAAATATGGACAAAATGATTTAGCATCACACACACATAATAATAGTGTGTGTGTGTGTAAATATGCACTGTAAAACCTAAAAAGTTAAGGTAATTTAAACCACTTAAGAAAACTGATTGCAACAATTTAAGTTCAAAAACTAATCCTAATGAGTACTGTGAACTTAATCCATTTGAGTAAATGAAGCAATTTGAGCACAGTAAAACCAAATAAATAAAGATAACTCAAACCAACTGAGTACTGTAAAACCCAATAAGTTAAGGCAACTCAAACTGTTTGAGGAAACCGATTGCTACAAACCATTTAAGTTACTAATCTAAATGTGTACTGTGAACTTACTCCATTTAAGTTTAATGAGGTATTTAAATGACTTATTACCTTTAACACTGAGTTAACTAAGTAGAATTAACTTTCAGTAAATTTTGAGTTAACTACACTCATTTCGTTTGATAAAGTTGACTGTTGTGTTTTACAGTATATATGTACTGGAAAACCCGATAAGTATAGTTAGCTCAAACTGTTTGAGGAAATCAAAACATTTTTGAAACAAAATGGTTTGAATACTGTAAACTTATTGTGTCACATACACCAATATAATTAGTAACTTAAACATTTTAAGTTAATTTATCAAATCACTCCTAGTTCAATTAACTTAAATTAAGGCCAGACACCCATATAGCTACTCAAATGGTTTGGTATTCCTTGTAGCATAAGAGTTAATACAAAAATATCATTTATTCATTCATAACTCATTTAATTAAAATTCTGCTTAATATAATCAGTTTATGAGTTACCACAACTCTTTTTCATCGAGTCAAAGTAACTTTTTAAAAAATTTGTAAGTTAAACTTATAGTTCATTTGGAGTTCAAAAGACCCACACTTCCATTACAAAGGTCAATAATTTGTCCCATACATGAGCTCATTTGTCCTATTTTGTCTGCTGCATCATCATAAATTATAAAAATGACTTATTAAAAAAGTATTTATGACCAAGCAGAATCCTTAGCTGGCAATCACTTTGCTAAGACTTTAGCTAATCAGTTTTAAACCAATGCTAACAATTTTTTTTGAAGTTCAAGATCCCGCTGTGCAAGAAAACATACAGTTGGATAAAAGTGAAGTCATCTTTCGCTGCTGTATTGTTTTTAAATAGACGAAGCATTTTACTAGTAACATTTATTCTAAATCTTGGACCTTATTCTTCAAACAAAAATGACCAAGAAAAAAGTGTGAAGCACCAAAAACAAATTAATTTGAATACTAATTTGGCTATTCATGAATGTTATTCTTTTTTTTTTTTTTTACAAGAGAGGCTAGAAAAATCATCAAGCTCTTTAATTATTATTATTATTATTAGTATTAGTATATATTTTTATTTTGTTTTAATTTTTCATTATTGTAATACCCAAATTCTGACAGAGAAAAGTTGAATGTTCTGGCTAGTTTGTTATTTGCCTAGTAAATGACAATAGACTACAGTTTTTCATTTAAAACTTTAGCAGATGGCTGTACATATCCTGATCGGGATGTAACATCCTGTTCAGATCAAGTCTGAAACCGCGATCACGTGATTTGATATGGATATTCCTAGCTTTTTCTTATGATATATGATGGTGGGGCGCCGCTGGGGGGAGTTAAGATAATTCTAAGGATCCACTCAGTTTTGGGCCCTCCACAGATATTA